TATCACGTACAAGTTTGTAAAAATTATTTTTTTAATGGTAACGATAAATATAGTAATAATAAAAATACTGTCAATCGAATCAATAATTATTTTAACGCTTGAACATAAACACAATCACAAGTTAATCACATTGAAAAAGATACGTTTTATTGATCATTAACAAAGGTCTATTTAAATTTTACTATAACGATAACGGTTGTGTACCATTACGATCAATTGCTGATTTATACGTAGAGAATGTTACTTGAGAACACCTTAAGAGTAAATTATCTACCTGTATAACCTTATTTGAGTGATGGTTGATCAATCTGGTTTTAATATGTAATGTTATTATATAATAAATGTGTTTACTAAAATATTTTACGTGGAATCATTTTAAAATCAGATTCATTAGGGGTCGTTTCTGAACAGTGAATCCATTTACAGGTTTTCCCTGACCGTCACTCATATCAATAAAAAAATTAAAAAAATTAATTTTCGAGGCGTTATTTTGGGTTAAAAATCGATAAACATCCTGTTTCTAAATGTATGGTATATTTAAGAGTTAGCCGTGAAACCGCAAAATCTTGACTTAGATTAAGTTGTATATATTGCTATCGACCGTGTAAAGATGTGGCACAATTTCAGTTTCTGTTTCGCCTTTTTCAGACTTCAACTTGTATATACAACAAAATTATTTAAGAAATTTCAGTTGCCTGTAGCAAAAGTTTTTAGCAATAAGATCTGCGCTGATTATAATTTTGAAGATCCATATAAATCCATCAATGTAAAATTTAGCCAATCAGCGAAAAAAAAGGGATATTTGAGCCTCTATCTCTTGTTAATTGGAATGATAAGTACTTTGGATCGGCTAAACGATCTTTCATTAATTAAAATTTTCTTTATGATGTATTAAACTATTGTAACCTTATAACATTAATTGGAATATTGAATACAATTGATTCGTAAAACTATTTTTTACTATATAATTGAAATTTACTTTCCGATCTATTCCGACTGAATGACTAAAGCGCTTGAGAACACCCCTTAATTACTTTCGATTCGGTCTGATAATATATAGTTATTGGATGTAATTATCAATAACCAAAGTTATTTGGCAGTCTTATCATAGTAACATGACGGATAATTTCCGAAATAACACTCGAGGGGTGCGTGTTATTTTAGGTAATTTACGATTAAATTTATCGTTATTAAATATTCGGAAATTTTACTTTACATCGTAATACAGCACATGAAAATAGTTAGAACTATGTTCAAGGTAAAACGGTTTATATTATATTAACTAAAATGGGCACGACAATGGAATGAGAACAATTCTAATAATTCTAATAAATCAAACATTAGTTAGACTCACATATGAAGTATCATTTTAAAAAAAAATTTATGCAGTTTGGTTTATTAGTTCAATAAAATGGTTGTAAATAAAATATATATAATTGGTGGTTCCTTGAATGATAACAGTCGATCTTGTTATTAGTAATATTAATCTACATACGACTGGTGCTAACTTGGCACTATGTGTGCTACTCTTCCATATTGTACGTATCAGGTAAATCAACTTTTATTGACACTATTGCACTAGGTGATAGGCAGGCTTAAACAGCTTAGCCGAATTCTAAAAGGTTTCGTCAAATAAGGTTAAAAGCTTAGCTCATTTAAATAACAGATTAAACGGTATCGATATTATATAACGTTATTTTGTATGATATTATTTATCGTTATGCTTTATTTCTCTTTACAGTTAGTTCCCTTTATAGATATTGTTAATTTTTTATCTATATAACAATAAAAACTTGATTTACTTTACACTAATCCTACTGTTTAAAACCAATTCTACTGAAAAAGAAAAATATCGATTTGTAAAAAATATCTATTTATCGATATTAACTCCAATTAGCCAATAAGGATGTGGGATCGGGTGTCATGTGATAAAGATTTTTCAATTGGGTCAGTACATGCCTACGATTATACTAGCTATTCTAAACCAAAATTCCAATTTTTATTATGTTTGGAATTGGGATTTGGGACAATTTTATTATGTTTGAGTTTTGAGGATTTTGAGAATTTATAGTTTGGGCGGCAAGTATACCTACGATCGTTAAAATAAAAATATTATTAACTAAAAAAAAAAAAGTTTTTTGAAAGTGAGATTGAGTTAATTATATTGCATAACAACCTATTACTTTATTGATTATAATAATTTTATGTTGTCAATACGTCACAAGTCAAGAAGTAATAGGATACCACAATAAAGAGAAACCTTATAGTATCATTGTCACATAAAAAGGAACTAAAAAGCTTTTTTATACAATACTTCTTTTGCAAAGTATGATTACATAAACCAATATTGACTTCTAACTATAAAATATCGATTTAAATATATCAAAATTTTTCAGGGTGATTATTGCGCAGTTAGTTATTAGTAAAACATATAATAAAGTATGTAATAGCAATAATAACAAATAGCTAATACTGTAAAAGTCAAACATTATCAAACATTTACCTCTTGCAATGCGGCTATAAATTGAGGGTTTGATACAGCAATTTCACCGATAATGCCAGTTTTGCATCGGGTTTTTCTTGAAATTGCAAATGAAAAAGACCATTGAGTCGTGGACAGCTTTGAATAATAACAAATAGATCTGGCTAACCCTAAATCAGGCCCAAAAATTGCTGTCGGTGAAAAAGTTAGGCCAGACCAATTTGATTCTCCTATTTTTTCAATTTTTAGGTAAAAAAAAATACTCATATAATTTAGGCCAAAACCAAAAAATTTTTATAATTTTGGCCAGAATTATATTTTTGTATATTTTAATTAATATTTTAACCAGATTTTGACTTGAATGTTATGTTAAACAGAGAATCAAATTGGTCTGGAAAACAACCAAATACTATAAATAAATTGAAATATATTGTTGACAGATTTAACGCAAATATGATAGCTTAAATAGCAGTATCAAGATATAAAAAATTACTATCTTTTGCAGATCATGTTCATTACATAAGATAGAAAAGTGCTACTGGTGTAAAACTGCTAATTTTTAAATTACTATTTCTCATTCAAAAAAATAATAATAATAAGCATCTAATTTTTTTTTAAAAAAAATAATAATCTAATTAAACTAAACACACTCATGGTTTTAGATTTTTTTCATTATTTTTAACGTTTTAAACAATTATAATGATTTAAAATTAGGATATATAGTTTTATAGTAAATCTTCAAATTTGGCCACTTTTTTTACATATAAAAAATCTGAAATTTGGCCATCCTTATAGATATTAAGTTACAAATTTGGCCACTTTACGTATAGCGGATTTGGTGATTATTAAAAATTAGATAATAATATTTCATCCAATCATTTTATTCGATTGGTCAAATTGCTTATGAAACGCTTATGAAACCGTTTTTTTAATACTGTATAAATAATTATAATCAACAATTGTATTTAATTGGTCAATTCTTTCTTAGCTACAAAATTGCTTATGAAACCGCTTATAAACCCAATTTTTTTTTCAATTATCGATTCCATCATATCATTTAAATTTCAAATTTGATCACATCGTATATATAAAAATTAAATTTCAAATTTGGCCACTAAAATCTTTATTGATTGGGACTAGGTTGTCCGCACTGTAATATTACTGTTGTTTTCATGATTCTCATAAAACTCTTAACCTGCTCAAATAGAGAAAGAGAATTAAAAGTGCCAAATTAGTGATCGTAGATCCAAGCAAGTGGCCTTGCTACTCAAATATTGTAACCAGGTACCCCAAATTTCACATGCACATATCAGCATTTCTAAGGGGAGGGCCAGAAAACACGTGTTTTTTATTTTGACAAAAATTAACTCTAGGTTTCTTACCTTCCCTATTTATATATATATTTCTTTTTAAAATGACCCTTTTCCCTAAAAAAAAACGCGTGTTTTCTGGCCCTCCACTAAGTACTCTGAAGATTGAGAATATCTATCAATCGAAGGTCTATATAATACAGTAATAATATATTAAATATTATCACGCATTAAATGATAATTAAAGCATGACAATTTTACCCGATAATATTTTTTGTAACGATTCCTAGACTGCTACTGATCATATAAAAATAAGATAATGATTTTTTTTTTTAATTTAACTTGAGCTAAAAAATATCCCACTCATCCGGATACATTGCAGATCCAGGAAACGTGAACGTAGTGATTCGGTAAGACAGGAGAACGTAGTAATTCAGTAAGACAGGAAGCAAGAATATCCATTCGCACTACTGTCAACACTCCAATTTTGATTTGTCTGCCTTACCGGGATTAACACGTTTACATATTCCTGGATCCGATGAGTGGTCGTTCTTGGCAGGCTTAGATACCTAAATTTATAAGAATTTAGATGAGTAATAATCTGCAGTCGTCTTCGAAAGTAAAATTTTGCCTGGATAGTAAAGCCGGCTGACATTAATTTGGCCAGAATTTGCGGATCGTGACTTCACGTGTGATGTCACTTAGGCTATTTAAAATAATCCTACTGCTTAGGGCAATGACATATATTACGTAATATTTTTGGGGGTGGGGGGGTCGTGTAAAATCTTAGGTTATATATATAAATATAATAGCCAATCATCATCAGTTTATATATATACTAAGCATTCGCCAATAAAATTTTTTTTATTAATAATACGTAATCGAAGATTACCGTATATAATCCAAAAATGGAAATTAATTTAATACAACTTTTACTACGTACGTAGTAATTTTTAATGTGGCCTAACGACTATTACAAGGCATTTCGTAATACTAGAGAATGCGTAATTATAATTATTTGGGGTTTGCGCACAGTTTCCGATACCTCTTAGTATCTTGCAGCCTGATAGTCTGTGGTAGCAAGTCGCTAACAGACCACCCCCAAACTAGGCATGCTTTGTTTTTGTGTTTTAGTTTGATTAGTTTGCCGTTCAGCAGAACAATTCTGCCTTACTGAAGTGTTGTTCTGATTACCTGTTTCAAGTTTGATTCAGAGTGATTAGACGCTAGTGTAGATTATGTAATTTGATTAAGAAATTAAGCACTGAATATGTAGTATCTTTTTACCTGGCGCAATATAAAGTTTTTGCTGTGATCAGTAGACTCTTCAATAAGTAGAATTCCTTGTACAACAAATGGTATGTAAATTCACATTGCACATCTTTATTTTATTTAGAAACCAAGATCAAGAGCAGGTTTTTCTCGACATAACCCATAACCCATAACCTAACCTCTATTAACACGTACAAAATCACTATATTCAAAAAATACCGGTATGTTTTTTTTGTTTTTTTTTTTTTGGTTTGTTTTTTTTTTTTTTTCTTTTTTTTTTTTGTTTTCTAATGCCTTATTTAATCCACTTGTGCTTCATCATAGTTATGTCATATGCATGTGCATATAATTTATTCTTTATCCGATATACACCTTCTTGTATACACTTCATCAAGTGAGAGTATTTGATCATGTTGCTGTGACAGGAGGAGAGAAAAATCATAAAGAGTCATTGAATTTTGTTCAATTTGACTTTTTGCTTTTCCTTTGAGCCTTCCATGACTAACAGGATGCATTAACCACTTATGATACATCAAAAAGGTAAGTGTGAGAAAGTATTTATTATACTTGGAACAAAAAAGCTGTGAATAGGTTGCTTCGTCAAGAGATAGACAATATTGATCATATTTAGAAATTTTAAAGAAATCATAGTACTCAAGAAGATGTATAGGATTCGTAAAATGCTCATCTTTAGCTTTGATGATCAGAGATAAGAAACTATTATTTATCTGCAGAAAATCTATTGCTTCATTTGTATGAGGTGGTCCACAACAGCTTGCATCTGTGTACTTTTTTATATTAAGAGAGTACTGATATATATTACAATGCTTTTCAATCCATGACCATAGTACGGAGCACTCAGTTAAGTTGTCTTGTTTTTGATTTTTTTCTTAATTTTCTTTTTGATTTTTTTTTTGATTTTCTTTTTGATTTTTTTTTTGAGTTTTTTTTTGATTTTCTTTTTCTTGTTGCTTAGATTCTTCTGCTTTTTCTTTATTAGTACCCTCAAATTGCAAATTCTTACAAGGGTTAGTAAATTCTTCAACATATTGTGTATTTACACGTTTCCCAAAAATTAAATCATGGCACCAAATATTACAGAAAGCCTCTTTAGCATACCAAAAATTTTTAAAAGCCAATTCTTGGTTGTTTACTTTGCCTTGCGTGTTTAAATATATTCCAAAGTGATCAATTAGTAATACGACACCTGCTAGTTTACCAGAAAGTATTGTCATACCTCTTTCTACAGGATTATATTTAGATTGTCCAGAGGCATATGTTCGTATAGTTAGGTAGTCTAAATTAAACTTTCTAAAAAGCAAACAATATGATTTAATATTTTTTAAGTGTCTTAGATTTTCATCCGGTTTTCTATCTACTAACAAAACTGAAATCAGCTGAATTTCTCTACCAGTTTTCAAAATACTATCATATTGAGGGTCTATAGTAAGATTGTCAAGATCTTGGATATGTGTAAGTAAAGATGTGCCAAGAGACTATTGGCGACATACAAAAATAGCAAGTTGTCTAGTTCGTAGCTCATTATTTAATTCACCTAGTTTCATTAAAAGGTATATTGAAGGAACTAATTTTTGTTCAAATCTTATCACAAAATCATGATCTGCTACACAAATAGGATTATTAATTGATTGTAATATATGGAATATTCGACCTACAGCAGGTATTCTGAGACCTATCTTTGCTTTGTCATCTTGAGAGATGACAACTGACATATCAGAAAAAACAGATGCAAATTGTTTTGTGCATTTAACAAATACAAGGCAGTAATGACCATCAGGGTGTTCATGTATATCAGTATGTGAAACTCCAGCAACTGAGACCCATGCTGGGTGATGATGTGCTTTCGCAGTGATAGAATTAAACTAGTAAGGTAATAAGTAATTATTTAATGTTGTTCGTGCCATATAGATACTATAATTGTTTTCAAGGTTTTTGTGCAAATTTTCTATTATTCGCACTTTAACTACTTCTTTTCACCATTTTTCATCAGCTGATCCAAATTCAACAGACTCATGAATATAGTTATGTAGGTTCAGATATTGAAAAAGAAGTGGTGAACGACCTGGACTATCATAGTTTATTACTTCATGATTTTCGATGAGTATTTTTTTTTTTTTTCTCTACAATTTTGAGTATACTTAGTATTTCTTTTTAATTTGGCAATTCTATCTTTATTAGCTCTAATTTGAGTCTGAAGGTTGCTTATTTTTATATATGTATCATGTTTAAACTGAGAATCTGTTGAAATACTGTAAATTTGCTCGAATTCTGTAAGTTTTTTTTTTGCTATGATGATTTCGTTTACTGCTTTTTTTTGGGCTGCTGCATTTGCGGAGACTTTAGGTACAGGTTCTACTGGATGGATAGTAGGAAGGGGGGTTCTAAGGTCTCTTCAGGTATATATCTTGATTTTACTGTTTGTATATTATATAGATTAAATGAAGTGTTTAGATATTTTTTAATTATATCGTCGATTTCTAATGTATTTTTGGTTTTGATTTTATTCCATTCTTGAGTTGCCTCATTACAAGCTTTAGCATGATTAGGGGTATTGTTTCCTGTCTTCATCATAATACTATATATGTATGTGTTTGTAAACTCTTGATATTTATTTGCTGGTGAATTATAAATCAGGTTTTTTTTAAACTTTGGAGTTAAAAAATAAATTTGACGCAACACTTTCTTTCCATCCTTGTCAGTATTTATGCCTTGTTAGTTGCAGAAGCCAAGTTTATTTTGTTCATTTGAATTGCCTTCTTTGTTATGTCTGATGGATTTATCACTTTCATTTTGTCTACCAGAATTACTGCTAATTTGTCTAACAGAATTTCTACTGTCAGAAGCTTTCTCTTTGCCTTTGGAAATTCCTATTCTTTTTTCATAGCAGAAACCAAGATTAAACTGATTATTCATTTTTATAAAAAAAAAAAGTGATGTATGAAGTGAACTATATAATAAAGTGTGACTGTATCTTATTTAGCTAATCAAATTGCTAATTTTGAGGAACGGAGACAACTCCTATTTCTTAATAATTTTTCCAATTAACTTTAGAGTTAGGGTCATCTTATATTAGGGTCAGGCTAGGTTTTAGATAGTTATATATAAGCAAAATTGCTTTTCTAACATTTTTACATAATCTACCTGAGGTAGATAAGACTGCCATTCTTTGTATTTTTTAGGTTTTTCATTTTTGTTTCTTGTTTTACTTCACTGGCGATCATCAAAATTCTATAATTTGATTAGCTGTGGTTACGTAAAATTGCTCTTAGCTCTTTTTCTTATATTACCTTGGAGTGAGGAGGTAGGTGTTTATAGTAAATTGATATTATATAATATATGTCATAGCCCTTAATGGAAAAATCTTTATATTAGATAATAAAACTAGGTCATAAACCCACTGCTTTGTAATGATCACAAATAATGTTAAATAAGTATAAAAATTGTTGGTAAATAAATGTTGCGGATGATATTGCTTTTAGCTAATGCTAACTTTTGAAATCACATAGTGACGTAAGTGTGGTAGCTACCTACTATTGGCAAATGCTGGTAGAATACTGTTAGTTAGTGATATAAACTAGTGTTAAAAATAATCATATGAGGATGAGTCAATAGAAACACACTGAATCTTTTTTAGTGAAATATTTTTGCAACTTAAAACAAAGATAACTTGACAAGAAATTATTCAAATTTAATAAAATTTTTTTTAAATAAATTCTATAAGATTTTCGAATTAATTTAAAAAAAAAATTATTAAATATGGTTAAGTTCTTGCTAAGTTATTTGAGTTTAAAATTTCAAAAAAATTTATTTAGAAAAAATTTGGTACGTTTCTATTGACTCACCCCCATATGACTAGTAGTTACCAACTATCGGTAGCTACTACCTACTAGTAGCTACCTGTAGAAAACTTAGTAGAAGTAGTAGATTCACATCACTAGGGTCACAATTTGAATCTGTTAAACCTACTAAAATCCACATATACTATTCTATTAATAATCCTAACCCTAATAAAAAAAAAAAAATCCTACAAAAAAAGCCCTTAAAATTTCATAATAAAATAGGTCTAAAAATCAGCTTCAGCTGTGCAATAAATATTTATATTTGTTTGATAATTTTAATTCTATTATTTAATAAATTATTTTTATACTCACAGACTAATTATTAATTAAATTAAATAATTTGAACATTATAGATTAGAAAATAGTAAAATAAATAGTTATGTTAACAGTTTGATAATTTTCATTTCATCAATTATAAATTATCTTTTATATAGTACTCACCTATAAATTAATATAAGTGAATAATATTAAGCATTTATGTTTATAATTTGATTATTTTAATTCCATCGATTAATAATTTTCGTAATTAAAACTATATTTGTGATATTTGAATTAAAATTATAATAAAAAATATAATTAAATTTAACTTACCTATAAATCTATCCCTCAAATTGATATTGTATAATGCCAATTTTATAATAGTAATATTTTAAAGATTCCATTAAAATTATTCATTTTTAGTTGATTTAAGTAATGTTCAAAATGCTATGGTTTATTCATTTAATATCAATTCCAAAAGCCAATTGAAACCTTGTACAGTATTGGAATATTTGCTAATAGTTTATACAAAGTAAATACCTAATATTCATCCTTTTTAATACCGTAAAGATAATAATAGGCTACTTGTAAGGATGGATCAGTCCGGTCCAGTCCCTAATAAGACCAGTTCATTAACGTTTTTGGTCTGGTCTCGGTCCTAAAAACGGTTCTTAGTTATATAAAACTTTAACAATTTTATTGTCTAGCAGAAAAGATATTTTTAACTATTTATGAAGATTTGTCCGGACTAATCTCAAGACCGTGGACTGAATAACCGTTGGACCAGGACCTATCCCATCCCTACCTACTTAAAACATTCCGTTTTAGAGTTAGGGCTATTAATCGGTATATCCAACCTGGTCTGGTACAAAAACCTCTGATCTATAGTTTAGATTGTGGTCTAAAATTGAAGTCAGTAGGGCGGAAAGAAAAAATATTGCTGGCAATTAGGGTTGCGGCCCAAACCTCTTTGCACGTCCGTAATCTGTGACAGGTTAAGCCACTAATTTCAATCACCATCTGACTACGTATATTCCCAGCGTAAGACTTGACTGTAATAACAGATAAACTATTAAATTTAAAAACTTATCAATTTAAAAGTTGCTTTTTTGATATTAGCTAAACAAATATTTATATAAAAAAAATAAAAACTTTTAATTTTAAAATTATAATAACGAATATTCTACATAAATATTCCTCTAATATATTATAATTAAGCAAAGCAAACAATATATGTTTCTTAACCGTGCTAATTGTTCAACACATTCTTAAATGATTTTTTTTTTTACTTAATTCGACCTTTCTCAAATGAAGGTAACTCAAAGTGCTGAATTATCCTTTCCATCGTATCATTTATTCGTGTACTCGTATTTCGCAGCACTTATGATTGAACAGTCGCGACTAATATCATAAAGAAAAATATTCAAGAGATTTTATTTTTGTTACATAATACTGATCTTTAAATTTATTTAACACGGTTCGTAATGTTACCTAATATTTTGACAGTTTGAATTAATAACAAAGATGAAGTGATGCTGGAAATATCGTTCTCTTCCATTTTCTTAATTCCATTTTATAAGTTTTTTTAAAATATATCCAAATTTATATAACCTGCGAGGCATTTGAAGAACCTTTCATACTAAACTTTTTTTTTATAAACTTTATCAAAAAATTGGTTCTTTTTAAAATCTTAGTCGATATGGTATTTAAACCTTTAATTTGCACACTTACGTTAGATAAAAATTAAATTAAAATAAAAATTTATAAAATCGCAAAAAAATAAAAAATAACTAAATACGATCAAATCATTTTTTATATATTCACTTTAATAAAATTTTGAAATATTAATAAAAACTATTCTAATATATTTAAAATAAATGATCAATATAAATCTTGCTATCATAACTTGTACTAGACGTATATAAAGTTTAATTGTTTTTCAATTATACAAATTATACGTCTAATTTTGGAGTGTCAAATAAATTTAGTGGTTAATATGGGTTAGATAGTAGGGAAGATGAATTAAACGCGTTATTATTTTAAATCAGAGGATTATGGTGAGATCGGATGATGATGAGATTGGGTCTTCTTTTGAAAATATAAACTCTACTTGTACTCTTTTCTAAATAATTCTAATCCTAAAAGCCAAGAAAATACATCCCAAAAAATTTTAAATTTTTATATTAAAATAGGTCCAAATCTTACAATAATCCGCGATATTAATTAAAGTGTGACATTTGATTTGACCTTTAGAGGAGGCCAGAGAACACGTGTTTTCTTTAGGGGTCTCTGTAAAAAGAAATGTCTATATCTTAGGGGGGAGAGGTTAATTTTGTCAAAATAAAAAACACGTGTTTTCTGGCCCTCCCCTTACAGAAATGAATCCCAAACCCAATTTTTACATGTAAAAATTTGGGATTTTTAACCGTAATATACATTAC